GCTATTCAAGGATATATTCTAGGAAAGGGAGGGAGTAAACCAAGAAAGAAAACATGGGATCTAGGAAATAGGGAATAAAACCTTGGAGAGAGGCCAAAGCAAGTTCCAGTACAAGAGCTACGCACCAGGCTTAGACACAGTCCAGACTGGAGTAGGAGAGAAGCAGTTTGGGGAAAAAAATGAAATTGACAAATTATTTGTGTTTTGAGTAACTGGAAAAAATATCATTGGGTATTTGACAGAGCTGTCGAAGTATCTGGGGAAAAAAGTAACAAGAGTTACATGGAGAACCAAGCAAATGAAAAAATGGTGGCGATTCTTAACTCTAATGAAAAATTTTTACATATTTTACAAGACTACTTAATCTTGTATTAGTGTTCTATTGCTGCATCACAAATGATAAACTTAGTGGCTTAAAACAACATCCATTTATTATCTCACTTATTAAGTCAGAAGTCTGGGCAGGCTTGACTGGGTTCTCTGCTTAGTCTCACAAGGCTGAGATCAAGGTGTTGGCTGGACTGGGGTCTTATCCGGGGCCTCTAGAGAAGAATCCATTTTCAGGCTCATTCAGGTTGTTGGCAGAATTCAGTTTCTTGTGGTTATAGGACTGAGGCCTTGCTGGCTGTCAGCCAGTCCACTCAGCTCCTAAATGCCACCCACATACATTCCTTGGCATGTGCCCTCTTCCATCTTTAAAGCCAGCAATGATGTGCCAAATCCCGCTCATGCTTCTAATCTCTGAATTCCTCTTTTGCTGCTAGCTGGAGAAAACACTGCTTTTAAAGGGCTTGTGTGATTAGATTAGGTCTACTCGGATAATCTCCCTTTCTCTATATAAAGTAACAATTACCAGAGTGTTATCTATCATATTCAGAGGTTCCACCCACACTCAAAGGAGAGGAGATTATACAAGGGCAAGGTTCATTGAGGGTCATTCTTAGAACTTTGCCTACCACAAACCTAAAACTGTGCTATAACTATACTGGCAAAACTAGAGTGGGAGAGGGGAAGTGCAGGGTGTGGTATATAAGAAAGCTAAATTCTCAACTGTCATAACAGAAAGGCAATATATAATAACCAAAAATGAATAAATCAATACATAGCATATAAACATTTTCTTTCAAAGTAGGAAGGTAAGTACCAAAAGAAACAGCTAAAATAGTTGAAAAGGATTGTCTTTGGAGAGTGGAGGTAAGAGGGCTGGGGCAAGGGACTCTTATTTTTCATTATAAGCCTTTTTAGCACTATTCTTTATGTTTAACATTACTTTGAAAAAGAATTAAAAAGATGATTTTTAAATATTTCTGATTAGAAATGAGGAAGATAACTAAGAGAATTGAAGAAAATCATAAAAAAATAAGTTTGCTTTGCAAAAGCCTGACTCTCAATAAATCCAAATGGAAATTGTAGATGAAGCATTGAGGGGGAAAAAAAGGCACAGCCCTCAACAATAGACACATTTTCAAAGAACAGGAATTGGCACTATATCAAAAAAATTGGTGAATCGACAGCTATACATATTAAGAGAAACTAAAATGGATAAGGTATGTATCTTTTGATTCCCCAATTTACAATGTACTCTTTCTTTAAATTAAGTGACCAACTATTCGTCTGATAAGAGAGAGTCTACTGTAATTACATTCAACTTTCATTATATAGCACTTATTAATTGTAGCTGGATGTCTAGTGGCAGGTTTATACCAGAAACCTGTAGTTCGTGGTTAGGAGTTTGGGTGTTGATTAGATGAGCCACATTCTAGGGTCAGATGGGCCACATTTAGTTCAAGGTGCCTCCCAGAAAGATGGGATCAGTGGTAACCAGTTACCTTGTTAAATGGTGATTTCACTAAATTCTTGTCCCAGAAGTGAAACTTCCCAGTTTTCTTTGGAGAAACAAGATGTGGATGGACTCCTAGCATTGAGTTTTCATAGTAACTCCACCAAAACCTCCAGTTTTAAGCACAGAAAATAAATCAAACTATTGTTTTGGTATCTGCAAATAACAGTTGGACTACATAATGATGATTCTGTGATGTGTGTGCATATGTGTGTATGAGAGAGAGAGGAAAAAAAGAGAGATCAGAAGGAACCACTCAATTACTCCTTCCTGGGCTTGCAGACCACTACTCTGAAGTTGCAGAATGTTGTAAGGCTCTTGGGAAGTTGCCCAGGGGCTATGGGAGAAGGTTACAAGGTGTTGACTCCATATATGAGTTCCCAAGTCAACAATTCTGGCCATTAGCTGAGCAAAAAGTTACCATTCAGCTCCAGTGAATGGCGGGCTCCTGGCAATCTTGAGAACCACCTGTTGGGGAACAGTGAATAACTCTAAGCAAAGCCCACCTGACATTCGAACTCAGGGTTTAAGGGTTGACAGATTTTCCTAGAATGGCTGGCCATCAATCATTTATACAGTGGCCTGATCACAGCAAAAGACCTGTGTCATTTTTCCCCATAAATAACTGTTTAAAAACGAGCACAGGCGTGGATGTCTGACAATTTGGCATCAAATTCTGGCTCTGTCACTGTGACCTTGGGTAAATAAGTTAACCTCTTTGAACCTCAGTTTCCTTATTGGTAAAAAGAAAATAGTAATATCTACCTCACAGGAATGTTGAGAGGATTAAATGGAATCATGCATGTAATGTGCTCAGCACAGTGGACATATAAATAAATCGTTGTTTATTATTAAGTGCTTGAACCAACAAAATTAGAGATTAATTACAAGTTAGCAAGTGGACCTCCTCTGTCCAAATCTTGAGAGGTAACCAGAGGGTGTAAAATCGAGGGGGGAGGGGGAAGCAAGCAGGGGAGTAGGGGTGGCAAATTTGATGTCCAGTCCTCCCTCTAACCTTACATTTTAGGCCAACAGTTTGGCCAAGCCTCCTGTCTCTGAGAGTCTGCCACTGGAAGGGAAAAACTTGGGTAAGCAGATGGTGTCAGGATACTTCCCTATCATCCCACAGGGGACTCCAGTTTTTACAAAGTGAAATCTTTCTCTCTGCCTAGCCTACAAAGAAATTAATCAGAAATAAGACCCAGGCCTCTTTGGATTGGTGTTGTTTACTAGTGTTTACGTAGCTAACTGGGTAGGAAAACCCCAGGCTGGGTGCTTATTTCTCTCATGGTGAGAAGTCAGGCAGGGTTGGAGCTGCCAGGGGAGGCCTATTCTTGGCCTAGAACAAGGGAAATTTGTGGGGTTGGCCAAGTGTGTTTCTCTGAGAGAGGGTGAAGAGCTCCTTATTTGTAGACAAAAACAGCCCCATGGCATAATGCTGGGACCCAGCTGGGTGGGGGCAAACAGGAGAGGGCTGGTTTAGGGCTATTAAGGGATTTCTTTTTTTTTTTTTTAAATAATTTTATTTATTTATTTATTTATTTTTCCCCCAAAGCCCCAGTAGATAGTCGTATGTCATAGCTGCACATCCCTCTAGTTGCTGTATGTGGGACGCGGCCTCAGCGTGGCCAGAGAAGCGGTGTGTCGGTGGGCACCCGGGATCTGAACCCGGGCCGCCAGCAGCATAGCGTGTGTGCCTAATCGCTAAGCCACGGGGCCAGCCCAATTAAGGGATTTCTAAGGTCCATCACTGGGACCCTAGAAGCTGGATATGTAAAACAGAGCTTCTTTGATGGAATTAGAAAGAGGACAGAATGGAGGCCTATACAAGATAAGTCCCTCACAATCTTAACTTTGTGCTTTATACTTTCCCAGTAACCCTCTCCCCTCACCCCAATACAACTTCTGCTTCGGTACCTGCCTACACTTAATTTCCTTCACATGTGTTCTCCATTCTGCCTGGAATACCCTTTCTCCTTCATTTCTGTGCTGTCAAACAATTCATCTTTTAAGACTTTAATCAATTGTCACATCCCCTGCAAAGCCTCCCCTAACTTCCTGTTTTAGAGTTAGTCATTCAATATCATTTATTCATTCATTTAATAAATATTTATTAAACCTCTATTGTGTATGAGGCACTGATAGGCACTGTGGATATAATACAGATCTGATATTTACTCACCGCCTACTAAAAATCCTTCAGTGGCTCCCTATAAAGTTAAAATTCTTAGCATGGCTAACAGCATCCTCAATTATCTGGCCCCTGCCTAGTTTTCAAGGCCTGCTTTCCAGCACCTGTCTACTTTTCCCTTTATCTGTACCCAAGGACTTGGAGTTCACTTAATATGGCTTTCTCTCAAGTCTCTCTTCCTTTGTCTGTACTATATTCCCTTCTTGTCTACTTGGTCAACTCCAATCATCCTTTAACACTCAGTTCTGAAAGCATTTCCTGTGTGAGGTCTTCTCTAAAGGATCCTCCATTCTCATTCCAAATCCAACAGTACCAGGTTTCGTCTTTTGTGGTTCCATAGCATTCCACATTTAATTTAATCATATACTATATTGCAACTTTTTTGTCTGCATACTTATCTTCATCTGATAGTCAGCCACTTTATGGCAGAGCCCTTACCCCATCCATCTTTGTAACCCTAGTCACCAACCTAAAGCCTGGCACATAGTTGGTGCTTAATAAATGCTGACTAAATGAACAAATGAGTAAGAATACATTTATTCAGTTGAACAAATTGGGTGTCATAATAAGGACATTAAATGACAGGAGAGGGAAGCTGAATGGATACTCTCCCTACTCCATAATTTTTTTTTTTTATTTTTACAAAGATTTTTATTTATTTATTTATTTTCCCCCCAAAGCCCCAGTAGATAGTTGTATGTCATAGCTGCACATCCTTCTAGTTGCTGTATGTGGGACGCGGCCTCAACACGACCGGAGAAGCAGTGCGTCAGTGCGCGCCCGGGATCCGAACCCGGGCCGCCAGCAGCGGAGCGCGTGCACTTAACCGCTAAGCCACGGGGCCGGCCCCTACTCCATAATTTTAACTAGTGTAATTGTTAATCTTGGGGGATAAATCTCTAATCCGAGGTAGGAAAAGAAATAGCTAAGAAGTGGCCCTTCTAACCCTCTACTCTATATTCCTCTTACTTGTTTCTTCAGTTATGTCCCTTTTCTTGTTCCGAAAGGAATTCTGATATCCCAATAGATATAAGTTGAAGAAGGCCATCTCAGCTCCTCCTTGTCCTCTTCTGGAATGTCCAGTCTGGAGCACTGGACTCTGTGTTTGGTAACCATGGTAATGTCCTGAAGAATTACTACGACTGACACTCCCTTTGTCTAAGGAGGCACAGGATTTATGGGTTCACAGTGGACCTGGAGTGGGAGTGGGCTAAATAACTTCAGGAAAATGGAGGAGTCAAGTGCTAGTTATTCTTTTTCTTGCCCCAGTCTTATTTATACTGTAAGCTTCAGAAGGCAGTGAGTAGAAAGCGCATGGACCTGGGCTCAAATCTTAGTTTTGTTACATTCTAGGTGTCTGACTTTGAATAGATTAAGCCTCAGGTTTTTTATTAAAAAAAAAAGGTGATAGTATCTATCTCATAGAGTTATGAGAATTAAATGAGAAAATGTATGCAAACTTCCTCAGCATAGTGTTCAGCATATAATGGAATCTTAACAAACAGTATTTAAAATCTGAATATGGTACTTCCAAGGAGTCTTTAAGTTCTGTTAAGCAGTAGTGTGCTGAGCCAGTTCACAGACTTTCAAGAGCCGTTGTTCAATATTTGGGAAGTTTGCAAGTTGGTTGTTAAACAAACCACTATTAAAAATTATCTAGGGGCCAGCCCCGTGGCACAGCGGTTAAGTGTGCGCACCGATGCACCACTTGTCAGGCCATGCTGTGGCGGCGTCCCACATAAAGTGGAGGAAGATCGGCACGGATGTTAGCTCAGGGCCAGTCTTCCTCAGCAAAAAGAGGAGGATTGGCGTGGATGTTAGCTCAGGGCTGATCTTCCTCAAAAAAAAAAAAAAATCGAAACTTACAATTGAATAAATTATATTAAAAATAAAAGTAGTAAATACTAAACTCATCTCTTTCTAATTATTTTACTACATTTTACTATTATCTATGCTCATGAGGTTATTTTCATCTATTGTATCTGGATATTCTGTTCTGCTGTTTTCATTTTTTCTCTTTGCTTTTCAGTTTGGGAAGTTTTTATTGACCTATCTTCAAACTCACTGATTCTTTCCTTGGTCGTGTCCAGTGTACTGATAAGCCCATCAAAGGCATTCCCCATTTCTGTTACAGTGTTTTTGATTTCTAGAATTTCCTTTTTTTTAATTTTTTAATTTATTTTTTATTTTTTGTGAGGAAGATCAGCCCTGAGCTAACATCCGTGCTAATCCTCCTCTTTTTGCTGAGGAAGACCAGCTCTGAGCTAACATCTATTGCCAATCCTCCTGCTTTTTTTTTTTTTCCCCAAAGCCCCAGTAGATAGTTGTATGACACAGTTGCACATCCTTCTAGTTGCTGTATGTGGGATGTGGCCTCAGCATGGCCGGAGAAGTAGTGCATCGGTGCGCGCCTGGGATCCGAACCTGGGCTGCCAGTAGTGGAGTGCGCGCACTTAACCGCTAAGCCATGGGGCCGGCCCTAGCATTTCCTTTTGATTCTTAGAGTTTTCATCTCTCAGCTTACATTACTTATCTATTCTTGCATGTTGTCCACTGTTCCCATTAGAGTCCTTAGCATATTAATCATAGTTATTTTAAATTCCCAGTTTGCTAATTCCAAAATTTCTGCCATATGAGTCTGGTTCTGATGCTTGCTTTGTCTCTTTAGACTGTATTTTTTGCCTTTTAGCCTGCTTGTAGTTTTTTTGTAGAAAGCCAGACATGACTTTCTTACATTGGGTAAAAGGAACTGAGGTTTTATGTTTATCTGGCTGGGCGTTAGGCTGTGTTTCCTGTTTGCTATAGCTGTAGGTGTCAGAGACTAAAATTTCCTTCAATGTCCTTGTCTTTGTCTCCCTGTTGTCTTTGGGTTTCCTTAGAGACTCCTTCTTAAATAGGGTCTGAGTTTGTAGTTCTTTCAGTTGTAATCCCCTGTTATTACATAGGAGCCCTAGTGATGTGTTGGTCAAGTGGAGGGAGGGGAAGTGTTCTATAATCCTATTAGGTCTCAGTCTTATAGTGAGCTTGTGTCCCTAGACTGTGACCTTCACAAAAGCTTCTTGTCTTTTTTCCCCCCTCAGGTGAAACAAGAAGGCCAGAGCAGGCTGGAGTTGGTTATTTTTCTTCTCCCATATTGGTTAGGCTCTGTTAAGTAGTTTCCCTTGAGGACAGGCCTTTGTTAAGGAGAACTGAATGCTCTGGGTGTATTTCAAAATGGCTACTTTTTCCCTCTCTCTACTGGAAGGATGAGGGGATTTTTCCCCAATCTTCATAGTAAGACCTGTGGGGCTCCTGGAGGTAAAACTCATGAAAATGTGGGAGACTCCCTAAGGCTGGGCCCCCAGGAGTTTTTTTAATCTTTCAATCTAGTCCATGTTCAGTCTCCAGCAATTAGTCAATTGCACTTTTAAGTATTCCTACCAGTTGCTGGTTCCAGTAATAGCTTTTGCTCCCAGTAATCCATAATTCTGTTCTGCCTATTCTGATTCTGTCTCTCCAGTTTTTGTGGTGCAGGTTTGCCATCACCTCTCTGATGGATCTAGAAAGAGTCGTTGACTTTCAGTTTGTTCAGCTTCTTTTTTTGTTGTGAGAACAGGAGGGATGACTTCCAAGTTCTTTACACATCAGATTGGAAACCAGAAGTCCCTGTCTATTGTATCTGTATGGAAGAAATACTATGTGATGGGGTGTTCATCTCTTCCCTATTTCATGATGAGTGATGTCACGTTGGTAGCTTGAAATTGGCCACGTTGGGAGAATTTACACTACAGAAATTGGCAGATGCTACAAACAAAGGCTTGATTTATTTGTTTTATTGTCTAGACTTAAGAAAGTGATAGAGAAAATATTAATAATGTAGATTAAGTTTAAAAGTGTATCGTGTCTGTAGCCATTACATTCTCGTTAGCACAAAAAGTTGAAATAGTCTTCCAGTATTCAAAAACCATTATCCAATTAAGATGTTGCTCAAGTCACTGACAAATAAGTGAAGTTGCAACATAAGTCTCATTGTTTCACTTTCATCTTATTGATTAATGCAAATAAAAATGTCAATCAACTGTCAAAGCTATACTCTTTTCTCAAATGAAATCATAGGCTGGTTCTTTTTTTTTTTTTTTTTAAAGATTTTATTTATTTATTTTTCCCCCCAAAACCCCAGTACATAGTTGTATGTCATAGCTGCACATCCTTCTAGTTGCTGTATGTGGGACGCGGCCTCAGCATGGCCGGAGAAGCGGTGCCTCAGTGCGCGCCTGGGATCCGAACCCAGGCCGCCAGCAGCAGAGCGCACGCACTTAACTGCTAAGCCATGGGGCCGGCCCTATTGGCTGGCTCTTGATTCAAGAGTTTGGCAAAACTCAATGAAAGCATTCTGTGAGAATCAGTTGACTATAAGAAATTTACAATAAAGTAGGAAGTCAAGATGGCGGCGTAAGCAGACTCTGAACTCACCTCCTCCCGCGGACACAGCCAATGAACAAACACTTGTGGAAAAATCACCCCGAGAGAGAACTGAAAACTGGATAAGAGGAACTCCAGCAACAAAGGACAATCCTAATTGAGGTGGAAGAGGCAGAAACTCTCTTCTGGAGAGAAAAAACGCCGCCTTCACAAGCTGCAGCGCTTCACGACCGCCTGGGAGCAGCCCAAAGGTACACAGCCCTCCCTGGAGGAGCAGGGCCCTGAGCCAGGGAGCGCCCCCGCTGTAGTCACTTAGTGGACCCAGCACAATCGAGACAAGTGGCATAATATCTGACTTTGGCTGCTACTAAAACACTGGGGAGTACCCCCAGAAAAGCTGGTTCACAAAGAAATTAAAACCAGCTCTTAAAGGGCCCATGCGCAAACTCACCTGTTTCAGAAAGCAACCTAAAATAACCTGAAAGAAAGGTGCACAGTGCTTTGGTGAAAAGAGACTCACCTCATAGGCTCTGAGTGCATTGCAGTGAGAGGTGAGACCTCTCCAGGGACTGGGACATTGGCAGCGGCCATTGTTGTGGCCTGATGTGGGTGTGCTGACACAGACACCATTGGAGTTCTCCCTGGGGCCTGCTAGCCCAGGGTCTGACCCACCCCACTAGAGCACTGATTTAATCCAGCTCAGCTAGGGCAGGCAGCCCACCCTAGGGATGGGCCCCACCCAACAACAAGCCTTAGGTAACTTGTGGGCCCGCACAGATTGGTGACTGGATTCTCTGCAGCCTGGTGACTGAGCCCACTTCAGTGGGGCAGAGTGTGCACAAGGAGCGGGTGGAGAGTGTGGGGACATGGTGGAGTGTGTGGGGCTCCCGCTGTGGAGAGACTGGATCCACTGCAGGAGGTCGGGGCATGCACACGGGGCAGGACTGTGTTGACTGTGTGTGTGGACCTGTGGGTGGTGGGGCTTGTCAGCTGCAGAAGACTTATGCTTCTCAAAGACCCACATAGGGGGTTTGCCCCACCTTCCAAAGCCTGAAACAACTGGGTGCTCCTGTGCCTGAGGCCAGCCCCACCCAGCTGCAATCCTCAGATTGCTGACAAGAGACCTAACGGCTGGAGGCTTATAGCAATTGTAAGCCCCTGAGCCGAGCAACCTGCCATGCTGGGGGCCTACTCACTTAAAAGAAATACTGAAACACAAATGTGGTATTAGAACTTGCAGCCAACTGTGCTGGGGCTTCCCACACCCTATAAAGAGACTGAAGGGCCCACAACAACTACAAGCAGCTGAACATTACAACAGCTGGCCAGGAGCATAACTCAGCCTCCCTGGACACCTACAGGGAGAGCAAACAGGCCACAATAGAAGGACACACGTAGCCCACATAGGGGTCACTCCTGGAACATTGAGAACTGAGGGAAGCACGCTGCAGGCCTCCTAAGGCATCACTTATATAAGGTCACCTATCCAAGTGCAGGAGACATAGCTGACCTACCTAATATACAGACACAAGCACAGGGAAAGAGGCAAAGTGAGAAGGCAAAGGAATACATTCCAAGTAAGGGAACAGGACAAAACCCCAGAAAAGGAACTAAGTGAAACAGAAATGAGCAACCTGACAGAGAGTTAAAACAAAGAGTGTTAAGGATGCTCACTGATCTGGGGAGAAGAATAGATGAACTCAGTGAGAATGTCAGCAAAGAAATGGAAGATATAAAAAAGAACCAATCAGAAATGAATAATACAATACTGGAAATGAAAAATTCACTAGA